CCCCCCCCCCCCAATCCACACCGCTGCCCCTCCGGACCTGTGCTGCGGGTGGAGAGCGGTGCCACGCTGCCAGAGACACCGGTGGTGCCGCGGGCAGGCTCCGAGGACCTGACCCTTCCCCAGCCACACCACGCAGGTGGGAGCGGGCAAGGGCAGCCCAGGGCCTCTCCTCAGAGGCTCACGAAGCAGGAGGGAAAGACCTGTGCTGATTCTGCTCCAGGAGAAATCCCCTGGCCAGCGTGAGGGTCCCTGCACTCACCCCGGGGGTAAAGTGCCACGCTTGTGGCGCTTCTTTTTCAAAATAAAGCTGGGAATCGCTTGGGCCAGCCTGCGGGTGTGCGCTCACCGCTGCCCAGCGCCTGTCCCTGTAACACCGGTGCCCTCTGAGGTCTTTCCCCTGGACATTTCCCTCCCCTCCCCTGCCCAGCCTCTGCTCCCAGCCCGTCAGTGCATTTGACTCTCAGTTGACTCTGGCTGGATGCTCTGTGGTACCCTGGTGACCTCACACCCCAGCCTCTGACAGGGCACTATATCAAAAGGTTTTTCACGGCTCCAGTAAATTATGCCTCAGCTTCACCCATCTGCTTCCCAACTGACACTTCCTGAAATAAATTAATCAAGCCTATTCAATTATAGCTTTCTTTCTGTAAGGTCCCTCGCTGATCCACACCTTTGTGAGATGCTTCTCTCCGCTCTCGGGGCTGCAGCCCGAGATGCAGCTGGAGTGACGGTCAGCCAGCCTTTATCCCCAGCCCCTCTGCCTGTAGCTGCACAAGAGGGTTTGTCCCCAGGTCCCCTGCAGACGCCGGCACCCTCGGGGGCCCTGTCCCAGCCCTGTCCAGCAGCACTGCCATCCAGCTCTGGAGCAGGAGCTGCCCTTCTGGGCTCCAACATCTGTCTTGCCCACATTACTTTGTCTTATTTCCTTGTCTCCTAGGAAATTTCTAGAGCCTCCACTCGTTTCCCCTCCTGAAGATGAATGAAAAGCAAACATAACCAGGCCACAGGGACATCCAAATGATCTCTGCACTGTCACCCTGTGGCATGGGGCTCACGGACATCTTGAGATTGGACAGGTGGAAATCTTGTTTCTCTGCCTGCTTCCCCCTCCTGCCTGCAGGGATGGGGCTTCTGGAGGAAGGGGAGGCTGGCTGAGCTGGGGCAGAGGAGTGACGGCTACTCTGCAAAAGTGAACTAGAGTTTGTATTTCACACTGCCCTCCCAGGCACTGCGTGGGGGAGCTGTGGTTTCTCCTTTCCCTGTGCAATCCCTGCAGGGCCTGGCCTCTGCATCCCAGGGCACTGGGGTGCTGTGGGAAGCCACAAACACCCAGGACAGCCCCCCTGGGTAACATCGGTCCCCCCAAGATGATGCATATGGAGCCAGGCACGCGCAGACGGCATGCGGGGAGGAGAAGGTGGCATAGTGGTGGGCTGGGTTGCTTGGCAGACAGATGGCCACGTTTTTAACCAAAGGGAGGGTGGGGGCATTTTATATTTTTAATGTTTCAGATCAATTTCTTTCTAGGTTACATAAAGTACAGATATTGAGAGGAGTCACAAAGTGTAGCTAAGAGAGGTGAGGGAAGACGAGAACAGAACCAGAGTGTACAATGAGGTGTGACAATTTCTAATTCCTGAAGAGTCAAGAAACTTGCACTAAAATAAGAGTGAGCAGACATCCTATTTTAAATGTTCAGCACCGATCGGTTGGACATGAACTCCTGCGTGGGGAATCCTGTGTCACCACCACACACAAATATAATTTCACCGAGCAGGAGCTGAAGATGAAGTCCCATCACAGTGTTTGAACTCTGCACATCATAAAGCATCAGTGCGGGCTCTGCCTCCTGGACAGACCCAGCCTGGATTTGGGGATCAGTGTGCACCCCTGTGAGCTCTGCACACACAGCTCTGCCAGGCCACCATGGGCAGTGATCCCAGGGAAAGCCACCAGCCACTTCCCACACCCTCTCCCAGCTTCTCAAAGCCAATTCCTCTACCAGCATCGTGGTTCCTACCATGGCCTGCTCCTCAATCACAACAAATGGCAATTAAATGTTTATTCTCAGTGATGAGAAAACCCAAGAACGCTCCAGAGCCAAACGCCTCCCGAGAGCGGGCATCCTCTGGAGACTCCTACCTGGGACACGGACTCCGCGCAAAGGGTTAGAAAGCGCCATCCCGATCTCCGTCATCCCGTACCTCTCCAGCAGTGTGTGCCCAGTGATGCTCTTCCACTTCTCCAGGACAGGCACAGGGAGGGCTGCTGAGCCAGACACCATTAATCTGCACAAGGAAATGGGTTGTTGGGCGTTGGAATGGGCTGCCCAGGGCAGGGGGGGAGTCCCCGGGATCCCTGGAAGGGTTGAAGAGTCGAGCTGAGCCAGAACTGAGGGATCTGGGGGAGTTGGGAACAGTCAGGGGGAGGGTAATGGTTGGACTGGAGGATCCTCAAGGGCTTTTCCAACCAAGAGAATTCTATGATTCTGTGAAACTCCATGTAAGAAAGTATCCAAGATCACCTTTGCCCCAGGGAATCTGTGGTCTAACCCAGGGTTACATAAACCCTGCTTCTAAGTAAAACCTTAAGCCAGAAGCCCCAAAAGCCTTTTAACTGTTACCAAGGATGTTCCTCACATGCAGATGTTTCTCTGTCTGATGTGGTTTTTAAGTTAAGATGGGCCAGTCTCCTAAAAACAGATACTGCAGTACGACCTTGGATTGCAGGACAAAGCCCTTAGCCTTGTGTTATGCAGGGTGGCACATATAAAGAGCACACAGACCCCTTCTGGCTTTACCATGCAAGAGTGGCTCATAATTAAATAACCTCACCCTGGTTCTTGTCAAGAGACATTAATGTGCAACCACCAGCACTGCAAAGAAATGATGTTGAAAAGAAACTTCAGCAGATCCACCGTGGGGACAGCCCCTGCCCAGAGGGGCACTGCTCACCTACCTGATGTTCTCTTGGCAAAAGGCACGCACAAAATCCTGGACTTGGGGCCGAGAGAAATGCTCGTCATAATACTGTATCAGCTTGGCATAGATAGTGGGCACTGCCATGAAGACACTGACACGGGGAGCTTGGGAGCTTAGCAACTTCTTCCAAACCTAGAAAGGAAGGGAACAGACACATAAAAATACACCCCAAGGTAAAGCGTAGAGGGAAGCGATGGTTGGCGCTGTCAGTGCCAACTCCTCGGCACCTTTGAAGAGGTTCACAAGTGAGGGCTCTGCAAACACTTCACAGGGCAGCGAGTCCCACCACTGCTCCTTCATAGGGTGCAAGGGGAAAACGAGGTGCAGGACTGCAACAGATTGGGTAAAAGCAAAGCCACCCTGGGCTGGCCACAAACAGTCAGACTTCGGCTATTCAAGACTCCTGTAAAGTACAACCAACTGGAAGGCTGTTGCATGCACCTCAGCCATGTCCAGAACAACAGCTCCCAAACCTCACCATGCCCCTCTTTGCCCAAAGCACAACATTCAACTCTCTCATCCCACCAGTGGGCCACCCACCTGCTTTCACTCTGCATGAGCACAAGATGATGGAAACTGGAGGATTTTTTTAGTACCATCATGTTACAGCCAAGGATTTGCTCATGAAGACGTAAAGCTTGTGGTAGAATCAGTTAATTCCCACATGCACAGCTCTTCCGAGGCTACACAAAGCCACCAGCTTTTCAAAGCATGGGAGCTCCTCTTTGGAAAGACACTAAGCCACATAAGAACACAGGTAGGAGCCCACTGACCTGAACCTTTGAGGCAGAAATGCTTTTAAGATGGATGACAGGGCTGGGAAGAGAGATACGCAGCGTAACTGGGAGTCAGACTCCACTGCAATGGAAACAGTCATCTTTTGGGGAGCAGACGCAGAGAGATGTGCCCCAGCGAGCTCAGATCAGCTATCAGATACCACAGGTAAAACCAGGAGACAGCAGCTAGCCAGGAGGGCCTCTACACCAACCGTGCTCTTCCTGAGAGAAATGGTCCCGGCAGGACCGATGTCCTTCAGCTGCAATTCCTGCTAACCTGTGGGAATGACAAATGGGAGCAAATTCCATGAGCTGGCTCTGCTGGGAGGGGCAGGGGGATGAAGACTAAGTGAGCCCTGGCTGCTGCCCTAGCTGAGCAGCCCCACCTGGGAGCAGTTAGCAACGGGTAGGAGCCATAAATATTGCAACTGGACCCATTCCTTCCACAGCTCACCACTCCTCCCCCTAGGTAAGCTCTTCCCAAGACAGGAACGATCCAAAGCCATCAATAAATAAAAGGCTACGGTGACGGCCGCCTCTTTCCTTTCGCTCCGGTCCCTGCCCCGCTGTTGACAAATGTATTTCCTAACAGCTCCTGACAAGGCGCACCGCCTCTCCCCTCCCTGCCCGCGCACGCTCAGCTGCACACAGGCGCGTGCGACGGCAAGAAAAAGCAGGAATTGATTGAAGGTGAACAAGTGATTCTCCTTCATGCTGTCACTCTGCCCCTTCCCCTCCGTCCTGCTCGCTCAAGCTCCATTTCATTACTTTCTACTTCGCTGCGCCGGCGCTGCCTCCCCCCGTGTCTCTCACTCCACTGCTTCAGAACAATCAGCTCCTAAAAAAAAAACCCCACCACCACCACCACGTTGTTATTCTTAAGAGAGCAGGACACATCCAACAAAGGCACTGTCCCACCAAACAGAAGGGAGTTGATGCTGCCTCCCAGCCCAGAGATATTTCTCGATGGGGCGAGACGAATGCACAAGGTGGAAACTCCCCCGGACACTTCAGGAGCTGGGACAGGGGTGCTGCGAGGGGCCCCCTTGGCATCAGGGAGAGCAGAGGAGGAAGGTGACTTGCCCAGACCAATGGGTGACGTGCCCGCAGAGGGAACACCACACTCCCTTGCAGAAACTCCACCTACTAGCACGATCCCCTAAAAGAGGCTGGAATAGGCAAAATTGCATTTAGAAGGATCTAACCCCACCATACTCCCCCCAGTCTTTTTCCCCAAAGACCTTTTTCTCTTCAACCCCCCAGTATCTCTTCCCTTCGAGGCAGCAGGATGGAGAAGGGCCTCTCCAAAGCTGAACACACGGACCTGCTGTCCTCAGCCTGGTGCTCCCAAGAGCCACCACCTCGGGCAGGGAGAGAGGCGGGACGGCAAGCAGGGATCATGACAGAGCTGAAAGAACTGAAGGCAGACAGATGCTCAGGGCTGTTCGATCCTTGCTGTGTGATTTATTTTTTTTTTTGCCTTCACAAGTCCAGAGCAGCTGTGGGGAACGCAGGCAGACTTCCAGTCTGGCCCTGCAGCAGTTATTTTCACATGGATTTGGACTCGAAGAAAAAAACCCAAAACAAACTGAAACCATTCCAAAACACAGCAGATTCCCTCCTGCACCCCAGAGTCCCCTGTCCTTGCATCCCTGCTCAACTCCTGCTCTAGATAAAATCCTCCCTACTGCCATTCCAGCCACGCGAGCAGCTTTTTCTGTGTCAGTCCAACTCGCCCCAGCAACAGCCCCTTCCTGAAGATAAGCAGCTGCCTTTGGATTTGTGCCACCAGCTGCCGGGGTGATCTGCTGACAGCCAAACATCTCCACCTGCTCCGCTCCTGCTCAGCCAAATCTGGATCCTACCCATGTGTTCTAACAGTACGAAGCACCGAGCTGTGGTACAAAGCTGGCAGCCCCAAAGCCCTCTGCAGACCCCGAGCTGTCCAGAGGGCTTGTCGCTGCCCAGCCAGCTGTAACAGCTATTTCTGTTTTATAACTATAACTTCACGGTTTGAGAGAAGGATCTGGGAAAGTCTTGTTACCTGGGACTAATCAATCAATCCCGGGGCTTGGACAGGCTTGTAGCAAGAGGCCAGCTTTGCCCTTCCAGCAGGCAGCATCCTCCGACAGCGTCAGGCTTCGAGCAGCACAATCAATCTCCCCCTCTGTTATCCCATGTGTCACCGTCACCACATCAATTACCTGCGGACAGGGTATTGGCAGCCCATCATTTCATTTTATTTTGCTCACCTGATACCTCAGGACTCCCAGTGCTTTTAAAAAAAGCCACGGGTTCTGGAGGCAAACACGGCACTGCGTGCCAGGGCTGCTGGACTTCACACCGAGCACCAGGGAAGCAGCAGTCTTCTGACGGAATACTTTCAGGGGATGGACCAGGATTCCTTTTAAGATAAACAAGGGCTAGAAACAAAGCGTTTCTAACTGCAAGAAAGCAAGAGCTAGAACAGCTTCCTACCAGCAATAACAACAATGAAAGTTCAGGGCAGGTTTACAGGACAGGGCTGCCTGAGCCAGCAAAGAAGTGGGAGACCTTCTGTTCCCAAGAGCCTTCCTGTCAGCTCGACATTCCTGATTTTCTTCCCCTCCCACTGCACAAAAACATATCTGGGCAATTCCATGGGCTGGCCAGTGGGATTTTGCCATCAGTAAATTTAAAAAAAAAAAAGAGAGAGAAAATTACGCCAGTGGGTACAAAACAGACATAGCTTTAAGATTTTTCCCACATCTTTTTTTTGCAGCACACAGATGGCACGATGGTGAACAAGGACAGAGGAACGTGCAAGCTGCTCCAAGAGATGGTCCTTCCACACAGCAACCAGCCTCCAGATCTGCTGCGATCACCTGAAGCAAGAGATGCAAGCACACAGCAGAAAAGGCTGTAACTCTCCTTCTTTACAGAGGCCTCACCTTCAGTGGGAGAGTGCAGTGCCAGAAACTAGACAGAAAACACTGAACCTACCAAGAACCGGGCATCTCCTATTGCAAAAAAAGAAGGTGGCAACAACAATTTGTATGCTAAATCTTGCAAGACTTTGCCTGATGGAGGACTCCCCAGTAGAGCCAGAAGAGATGCAGGCCAAAACGCCTAAAAGCTGAAAAGGAAGCAAATATCATCATGGATTTTCCCATCAGACCACAAACAGATAATAGACAGCCCATGCTGCTGCCTTGCTGAGACACACAACAGCTTCCCTCTTCTATAAAATTATTGTATCATCTTCAGTTGTTACTGAATGGTTTTTTTAAACCTTTTGAAAAGCAACAATACCCCTAATGCAAGGTTAAATCATCCCTTAACTTCTCTTTTGACCAGGGAGACGGGCTTGTGTTTTGCCTCGATTGCTGCCAAGTGGGTAGCGCCGCCAGCAAGGATCTTTGGAGCGTCTGCAGCCGAACCAGCCCCTCGTTCGACGAGACCCCACGCCTGACACCAGGGTCAGAGAGCTCCCGTGACTCTACAGCAGCCCCACAGGGATGGCAGGACCATGTCCGATGGCAGTTTATCCCCGAGCACGAGGCAGAGGGGCACGGCGGGAGATGGGAGAGCGCCGAGCGGAGCCCGAGCGCCGACGGTCCGTGAGCAATGTGCAGAGGGAGAAACATTCTTCTCTTCAAAGGGAAACTGGGCCCTTGGTGGCTTCGTCTCATGTTTGTTATAAGCCCAAACTGTTTGCGCTCTGCATGACTCTGGTTTTAATCATTTATTCATCAGTGCAGTTTGATGGCCCCTCTGCATTCCAGGCTGAAGCTTTTAAACCCTTCCTACGCTGTAGGCATACTGAAAGGAGCAAGTGCTTTCCCTGGGACCTGGTAATATAAGTAAATATGACAGGCTCTGGTTCCATTTTTTATATTTCCCCACACACATCAAAAGACATTACTCCGTAACAGATGCTGAGGACAGACGGCAGATCTGGGGAGACGGAAAGAAAAACTCTAACTTTTTAAAGCCAGGTCTACGAGAAGTGATCAAACATAATCCATTCACTAGTGACCTGCTCCTCCCTCCACTGACTCCTCTTTGAGTTTGAAATAAAATTACTCCTCTAAAGCCTCCCATTAACGGATGAAAAGACAATTGCCTTTCCCCAGCTGAAACTGGATGGGAGACGCAATCCCCACCACGCTACCAGCAGCGTCTTAGCCACGCTTGGTTACTAGAGATCAGACTCCCCTGCTTGGATTTGCTTTTCTTTTAAAAATAAACTAAAAGAGCTGCCCAGAGTGATGTTTGCAGAAGCGACAGATCCAGGGGAGAGGCTCACTGTGGTGCATGCTTCTCCTTTCTAGAGGCAACCGTGACTGCCGAGCCATAGATCCCCCTGCACAGCCCAGCGAAGGTGTAAAGCCTGAGCCCAGCCTGGCTCACACAGATAACAGCAGCACAACAAACAGTTTGCTCGCAGGTGTAGAACAGGCTGGTGGGCTTTGTGTGGAGGTCAGGGGTGTAACCACACGATGCAGCAGTGACCCTGGAGCAACACCTCACACGCAAAACCTTGACGAGCATCAGCTCTGCGGCACCTTCCCACCACGGGAAAAAACCGCCATGGGTGACAGCACGTCGGGAGAATTAGTCCCAAATCACACACTGGCTTTGGGCTCTCAGCATTCCTATCAGGACAAACGCCTAGAAAGAAGGGACCAAGTAAAATTAACGATTTTGATGGCTTTGTGTGCGACATTGTAAAACCGGGTATGATTTTTAGAGGGTTTGCTCCTCGGAGGCACCTTAAGCCAAACACGCAGTAACGCTGGCATCAAAACATCAGCTCCTCGTAGAACTTTAGGGCAATAAATCTGCATCGCGGCATATTTATCAAGGAAGCAGTTGCAGGGCACAGACAGCATTGTCACTGCACAGGCAACACACCACAGCTCGAAACCTGCCCCGCAGAGCCGAGCGGGCAGCACACGCCACAACTAGGTCAGGCGGAGCTGAGATTTCTCTAAGCTTCCCCCATCACTCAGAGCAAGTTTTTTCCTTCATGTTTTTGAATACTTTCATTTCCCACTCCGCACTTAAGACTGAAATTGCTCCTGGGATCTGAGCTCACGTTTATCAACATGAAGAGCTGACAGGGAGCCTTTTGCTGTTAGAACATCTCTCCCTTAAGGCCAGATCAGATGGTCCAAGGCAAAGACAAGCCGTTCCCATTTTCAAACTCAAGAGTTGGCCAAAAGCCTCAGCAGAGGATCCTGAAAAGCAGACACTGACCTCAACTCGCTCCAAAAGGCTCCTGTCCACAGGGCACCCAGTGTAGCCGGGTCCTGGTCCAGCACAGGGCCATCAACATGTGACTGTCCCAGCAAAAGCACCGGCACGGAGCACGCCCAGCTTCCCCTGGGCCTGTCTCTCCAGACTTGCTGACATTTCCATCGAGTAACAGTCACGCCACAGGGTGTGCTCAGCCTCAGCAGCCGCCACTGAATCGATGCGGGGAAGGGAGATGGAAGGAGGGAGTCGCTGGGGAATGGATGCTCTAAGTGCCTGCTCACTGCAAACCCCTGTGCTCACAGAGGCCTTCAAAAACCACTTGGCCACCGGCTTTCTCTGATGCCCAGTAAGGAGATGGCTCACCTTGCACTCCTTGCCTTAAGCAGAGGCGTTAATCTCATCTCCTCTGACCACCAATTTGCACAAAAACCGTAAAAATCTTTAAATATCTCCTCCTGCATAAGAAAAAAAGCCAGGCATTTCAAACAGGTTCAGAAGCAGCTGAGAAATATAAACAGGACCAGTGCAGCTGGAGAAGTAAACTCAGCCTGGAAGGGAGTGATGATGGGAGGACTGCATAAGCATGTTTAGGCGGCAGCTTGCTCTGGCTCCAAAGGAGGCTTCTGCCCTCCCTGTTCTCACCCTTGAAAAAAACAAAACAACAACACCAGAGCCACCCTTGCCCCACACAGCTGCTGGGAGGAACGCACTTGCAGGCTCACTGCTGTTCTCCTGCCTGCTCCCCGTCCACATGCCCACAGCAGTGCTGAAACCTCCCCCCCCGGCAGGCAGTGCAGCCGTTCTGAGCACCAGAGGCGCAGGCAGGAGTGCTGGGTGCTGCCCCACCACCTCCGGGCAGGAGTGCAGGCAGCAGCCCAAGAGGGGCTCCCCGTGAGCCACCCTGCACCCCAAGGACTGCACACACCGGAGGACTTGGCATGTCACGTACGACTAGACTGCAACGCTGGAAATTAAGGGTCCATTTATAAACCCTTTATTAATAAATGATTAATAGATGCAGCCATATTTTCTAATAACTTACAATAAAAAGATACTATGAAAAGCTTAAGCAAGACAGTCTTAACAGATGGTGCCATAAAGTGAATTATAACATGTACAGTAGCTAGTGCAAAGTAATGGATGTCCTCATTTAATAAAAAGAATCTGATTTTATGCAGCAACTTTCACGCTTGAGGCATCTCAATACACTTTAATGAGCCCTCGTGGCCTCAGCGATAGCTTGCATGCAGCTGTGGACGTCAGATGCTGTTTTAGGGAGAGAGTAGATGTTGGTCAGGACACCGGGGTTAGTCCACAGTCTTGATTTTTAACCTTTCCTTGGACAGCTACCAAAAGCAGACAAAAGGGTCTGAAAGATGTCACCTCCTAACGCTGCCCTGCAGGGAATGACAAGCAAGCCTTGGTCTGGGGCTTGAAACATCTTCTAATGAAGAAAAAAAGAACATTGCTTCCACCTCCGAAACCAGACTGGCATCTGTATCCACGACTATAAGGCACGCCGCAAATTATGTAATTTAATAAACACTGTAATAATAAAGTATTTATTTTGTATAATGAAGTGTTAGTGATTAGAAACCAAACACACATTGGGCATACTGCTGCGGTTTCTCTTGAACCCTTGCCAGTATCACTCAAGGCTAAATATGTCTGCAGCAGGTTGCGAGTAAGTTCCTAGCCTTGTTTTGATCAGCCTGTCAAGTGTTTTAGCTGCCATTCGAGTTTCTTTATATCACACTATAATTGGCTGCTTTCTCAAGGTGCAGCGAAGGAAAAAAAGCACACAGTAAAACTCAGGCTCCTTTTGCAAAATCCTCCACTGAAACTCTGCCGCTTTTCTGAAAGCTGATTTCAGTAGCAAAGGGCATTTTGTAAACAGCTGGTGAAAATAGACTGGAACTGAAAGGCAGCTTGCATTAAACTCCACAAGAAAGCCTTATTTACCCTCATGTGCTTTCTTTGTAGTGTCGATCAAACCACTTTCAGCTCCCAGGGGAGGCCCTCGGAAAAATAAAGGGAATAAAAAAAGAAATAAAAAAGCAAATGACGTCCTTCAGAGCCGGAACGCACCTGAGAGCCCTCGGAAGGGCTCTCGCTGTGGCAAGCACGCTTGCCACGCCGACCTCCCTGCCCAAGTTCAACCCCCAGGGTCAAGCAGATGCCCTCCAGCACCGTACCCGCTTGCCCTTGGCTGTCAAGGCTGGGGGAGAGCTTTGATCAGAGAAGGCGGGCGGGGGTGTCCCGCTCCCCCGCACCCAAACCCATCCTTCAACGTCACCTCATCGATTTGCGGATGTCGGGAGAGAACGCACGGAGAAAAACACAAGGGTACAAGGGACAATCCATCCCCGGTGGCACAGGACGTGGAGAAACGCGCCCTCCAGAGGGCTCGGCTTTGCTTCCAGGCTGCCGGCACGTTCCTCCATCACCAGGGCTGGGCACGCTCCCAGCCCCAGCTTTGGCGGGGCACACGTCCCTGCTGCACCCCGAGCTTTTCGGGGTGACAGCCTAGAGACAGGGGAAGGCGATTTGGCAGCGGTCACTGAGGAGAGAGCAGTGGCTACCGCTGCCAGGGGCCCCTCCTGCCTCCTCCTACCGCAGCACCCTACCCATTTACTCCAGCAATGGGAAGGCAGAGCCGCCTCTCCGGGATGCTGGGGCTGTTCCCCCCCCAGCAAAGATCAGTGCTTGGGCAGCAGGAGGGTGTTCAGGTGTCAGGGCCATTTTGAAGCGAAGAAAGGAAGCGTGCATTTTCTGTGGTCGCTTCTTCGAGAAGCAGAAATAAGCAACGAAGAATCGCAGGGTCCTGCAGCCGCTCGGAGCGGAGCCCAGGCTCGCCCTCACCCCACCGCAGCACAGTCAAGGGTGTATCCCACACCTTTGCACTTTGTCCTCTCGGTGTGACAAGGCCACCCAACACACGAGTAAATAGGAAGAGGCAAAGCAGCCTGTTCAGCTACAAAGCACAGGCTCGACGGGCTCTTTTCACATTCCCAGGGAGTTCTGCACCAACACCACACGTTTCCTTTCTGCTACAAGGTGGCACCAGCATCTGAAAAGCCAACTGCTCCCTTCACAGTGACGCTGCAGACGCCAACGTCTCTCACACCACCTACACCACCGGGAGATGGAGACGAGCGGTGCTGGATCCCAGGGGCCGGTAACTGTAGAAACTGTTCTACCTTACTGCTGGCTGCCCTGTTTCTAGTCCCTTTTCCTCCTCTCCTTAGGTCGGCTGTCTGCTGCCGCAGCAAGGAACAGAAGAGAAGCAGACCACTGGGACTGGCGTTTCCTGTCCCAGCTAGAAAACAACGTTCTAAGCGTGTCTCTGCCACACTCAAGGAAGGTTTCCCTCCTGCCACCTTTCCTGCAAGCAGCTCTTGATTTGCAGATTCTCTCGTATCACTGAGTCTAACCTGGCAGGTCTGTTAACACGTTTCTCCGCAATGTTTCCATGCAAGTGAGGAGTACCAGTATTTCTCTTACCTGAGCTGCAAGAAACTCTAAAGCCTGTGTTTTGCCATGTAACATAAAACACCACGGATATAGGGTTGGAAGGGAAAAATGCAAGCTACTAAAAATGCCAACAAGCAGCACAGTGCTAACATGCAAGAGAAAAACCCAGCGTTTCCACCCTTCCTGGTACCAGAAAATTAACAACTCTCATTCGGGGTGCAGACACTCTTAGTGGGTACGTGGAAGGGCCCACCTCCAGTCAGAGACCCTCAGCACCACGAGGGGCAGCACAGCGTTACGCTTACGTACGCCACGCTTAAACAAGCCGCAGCCTCCAGAAGAGCACGTTTACCCCAGACCGAGCGTCCAACTCAAAGGGGGTTTTAACAGACACTTTGTGAACCGCATGCAGCCAGTGGCTAAAGAGGCTGGAATGCTTTAAGAACTTATTTCCAAAGTTGCTCTAATTACAATGCATGGGGTCTTGCTGCTGAATTTCAAAGACAACGCGCGATCCCTCCAGGCTTACCATCTGTGTGCTGAATTCGGGTAACATGATGCATGTCGCTCCCACCCAGAGAGGACAGAGGAGCTTATTGATCACCCCGTGGACATGATGTAAAGGCAGCACATGCAGAATAACATCTTCCTTCTTCCACTCCCATTTTTCAACCAGCCCTGTGGTCTGCAGAAGAAAACATACAACCCAGCGTTAGGGCAGGGGGAAAGACTCTCACTGCTTGAAAAGCCTGAGGTACCCAGGCCCCAGAACCCCGGGGCACAGCCAGCAGCAGAAGTCCCAGACCTTCTGGAATGGTGGGCACAAAAATCTTGCCTTTAGGGTCAGCATCAGCAAAATTCCCACCACAACAGTAGAACACACCTTCTGCATCTTGTCAGCACGTGTCTTTGTATATATCAGCAAAGTCCTTCCTCATTACTGAGAAAGAGTCAACGATGATTTTAAGCAGGGCCTACAAAATTATTAGGCTGGTGCTGCACATGCAGAGTTGGCAGAAATAGTCATCAAAAAACTGATTTCCACAGAACTCTGTTGACATATTTTGGACACAGATGACACTGGGCTTTTAGCACCTGTAAGGGATAGTCAGGAGCAGAGAACCACAGTCTGATAAATACAAAGTAGGCTTCATGTTAGTAAAAAAAAATATTGGTATAACAAGCTCCTAAACCACTTTGCTATGAAGGGATAATCATCTAAAGCGTTAGACCTCAGGCTTCTGGGTGAACAATGCCCTTCAGAGCCCAGTGTTAGCAACTGGAAAAAATATTTCCAGCCATCTAAAAATAAAAAAAAACATTTGACCAGTGGAATTTAGTCATGTCATTCACAATCCTCTTCCACAGGGCAGGGAGCAGGTTTTAGGCTTCCTGCAAGACAGCACAAAAGATGGTGCCTGCTCAGGCCCCCTCCCAAATGATCAGCATATTTGTAAGGGAACAGATTCTTTGCCCAATATAGCCAAGCCCTGGCTCTATCCATCAAGGCTTTGATACCACTCCCGGCACAGCGTAAGCTCTCGGAGGCGGCCGTAAGGCACGATGCACTCCTGCCCTTCTTCCCTAATGGCATGAGTCTATCAGTGGCAGGCAGCGATAACCAACTGGTGAGGTAGTCAGCAGGCTCATTCAAACTTTTAATTCCTTTTGGCTCAGAGAGCTAATGGATTTTTTGCCTTGGGGATATATAGCTGAATAATGCACAGGCTTCACACAGTACTGGGCTGGGCTAAGTTATATTCCAATTAGGGGCAAAGATTCTTTCCGAGTCACAGTGAAGAAAAGCAAACTGCAAAGAAAACAGTCTTTTTACAACAGGTCTCATCCTTTCTGCTTTCCAGGAGAGCAAGGAGAAGAGTCCATCTGCCCCTGGCTGCAGCTGCAGCAGGACAAGGTTCAGAGCCTCAAACACTCTTCTCTGTGTTCACCTTAAAAGTGTTGAGGACTTCCCAGGTACAGCCCCCGGCTCTGCGCAGGGATTTGACTGTGGTAAGGCACGTTGTGCTTTGGGGTTTGCAACCCCAAATCCCCTCTGAAGGCCAAGGCCTCCATCACCTGGCCCGAGCTTTGCAGAGGGAAAGCAGCACTCACCACGGCTTGCACGTTCTCATGGGTGCTGAGGACACCTTTGGGTCTTCCCGTCGTCCCACTAGTATAGATTATCATGGCTCCTCTGTCTTTCCACGAGGAGCAGGTTGTCAAGGGACCCTCTTCCACTGCTGCGTGACTTGCAGATCCCTCACTATGAGACTCGAGAAGCGGCAGGACTGGGACTCCCAGTTTCTCAGCACTTGGGGCTATTTTCCCCACGTATTCCTCGGCGGCGATGACTAGAGCGCTCTGCGAATCCTGGATCACGTACTCCAGCTCCTGCACAGGGTGCTTCTTGTAAAGGGGCACCGCTATGCCCCCGCTCATCCAGGAAGCCCACTGGGCCACCACATACGAGGCATCATTGGGACACAAAAACGAGATCCTCTCTTCCTTCAAGTCCCTGCTGGAGCACTCCAGAGCTCTGCAGATCTCCTGGGACAGGCGCAGACTCTGCCCGAGAAGGTCCCTGTAAGTGTGTTCACCGTTTTGGTCGATGATGGCGATTTTATCACCAAAAGCCAAAGCCCTGGTGAAGACAGGGGTAACGTCACTGCTGTAGGTTGCCCAGGTAGTTTGCAGACCCCTGCGGGGACAACCAGCCCTCTTCTTCCCACGCAACCCCCCTCTGCAATGGTGCAGGTCCCGGACGAGGCATCGAAGGGGCCGGCTCACTTGGGGGAAGAGCAGGGAGACCAGCATCCTGCCAGCACCGCTTGTTTTGAAGTGATTCTGCAGAAAGCAATTATAGGAACAGATAAGTATGTGCAGCAATTACCCAGGGGTTTATTCCCACAAAGGAAAAGTGGCAGCCTTCATTTGAATAATACCCACTGTATTATTAATGTTTATGCTTCAGACTGCTGCATCCCCAGGACGCTAGGCCCTGCCCGGATGGAACAGCAGACAGAGACCCTTCCCTACACAGCCTCCGCATACCTAAAACCCAGTTTAACTTAAATTATGAAATAGTTTCCATCGATCAGTAATATTAGGACACCAAGTAGTGGCTACTTGATGTGCCATTCTAACTCAGTGGGACCGGCATTTAAAAAAATTAAATAATGACGACAGTCCCCAGCTCTCAGTTTGCAGTTTCCATCGCTTGGGTAAACTGTTGCCTTGCTTTACACTTCCAGTTAGGCAGCACGGAGCCAGACACGAAACCCAAGTCTGCTAAGGCTTAGCCCAGTGGAGGATTGTTTCCTGCATGAGCTTTCCTACAAGCAATAGCACATCTAAGTACAGGAAAGTGCCCAAACCCTCCCAGCTGACAGGTCATCCATCACAAACACCACTGCAGCTCAAAACCTTTCTTACGTGACAGACCAAGTGGTTGACAGCTACAGGCAATGGGAGCCCTGCTCCCACCCAGCAGCTGCTTTTCCCAGCAAACAGCAGCAGGGAAGCACAGCCACGCACAGGCTGACCTGTGGATTTGGTACAGAACTTCTGAAACTTCCTGGGAGCCAGAGCTTGAGCTGAGCGCAGCCCAACCATCACCCTGGCCCAGCCACGCTGCCACAGCGATGCCATGATGCACAGAGGCATTTCAACAGAGAAAGTCTCCAGAAGGGAACGGGAAGGCGTACCAACACCATTAAAGGCTTTACAGGAAGATCACGGCTGGCACAAACGTTGCGCGTTCTGCCTTTGTGCTCAGGCAGCACGATGACATCAACCTCCCCGCTCATGGGAGAAGTTAGCAAAAAAGCTTTGGTGGTAGCTGGCAAGAAGTACCAGGAGTTTGCTCTTTGCCCGTCTCCCCTTTCAAAGGGGAAGGTTCACGTAATAGTAGTGGACACTACCCAGATCATCTCACAGAAACACCAGGGGAAAAGTGAACACAGAGCACAAAACCCATAACAATATAACGGGGAGACAGGAGCCTCAGGGACTACTGGAACACTTGGCAGGGGATACTACTGGTACACCAAAGGTGAGAGGAAGCAGCAGTAAATTGAGAGGACCAAGGAGATGTCTCAGAAGAAGCCTAACCCCCCTCTGCACAGAGCCTGGAGCTCTGGCTAGACGCTCAGCAAGAACAAGCACCCTCTCGGTACAGAGGCAGTCACCAATGCCAACAGGAGAGCTGAGAGGGAAGAACAGGGCTGTGGCAGAAGAGAAAGAGATTTGCTGCACGGCCTATGTAATAGCTGCTACTAAACACCACCGACAAAGCACCCCTGGAGAGATACTATGACAAGAGGAGGTAGCCAAAGGATGACAGCTTCTCTATAAGAGTGTACGTGACACTTCCTCAACACTGGCAAGAATGACTTGATTTTTTACAAAAAATTTTAATAAATGCCTGTGAGTGGAACAGCTCGACTCAAAGAGCCTCCCTGCTCAGCTTCCCACCATGGGGAGGAGCTGAAATAAAACGGATCCAGAGAACTGGCAGCTACACAGGGATGAGCTGAACACAGCTGAACTCAGCTCAGGCTGCTCAGACACCCGCGGGCAGCGCCCGCCGACAGCAGCACGCGTTCCTTTTTGCAGAGAGGTAGCCCCGAGCCCCACGGTCACTCCCATCCACTTTCAGAGCATTTCTCCAGGCACACACAGGCTTTGCACGTATTTTTTCTTTTGCATATCGACCTCAATTTCTGCTTCTGCAAAAGAAACTTGTGATTTAGTGCGGAAACATCTGGGAGGGGGGGCAGAGAGGCTTTAAGCCCAGAGTGTGGTAACCATGTGCACTCATGACATACACTATCAGGATGGAAAAAACAAAACAGGTCATGACAAAGCTCACATGACATCTTTCCATTTCTCCGTAGAGACTAAAATATAAAGAGCCAACATCATTCATAACCTAAACCAAACCACCTCCTCTTAACCTGCACCCAAGGCCAGCTCACTGGGGAGGTGTGAATGCCCCAGACATTGAGAGGGGCATTAACTGGAGGGAACCATTTGCCAAGATCACCCCACACTGCACTGGTGTCCTCGCATGGCTCCTGAGCAGGTGTTAGCTGCTGCTTCAGAGCAGCGCCTTCCAAAAATTACATTATCCCCTTTTCACCACAGCACCAGTCCAGATTGAACAAAACAATCAACAGCAGCACCTTTAGCCAGGCCTGTGTGCTTACAGACTTCAGAGAAATAGTACTGACTGTGTGTGCAGACTTACAGACACTCGGGACAGGGTGAAGGAACACTGGGGGCTGTTTTCTTTACCCTGCCTGTTGCTGAGGGGTAACTGGAAACACAAACTCTGGCTGCGCATACCTGAATTTTGTCACTGGGAGCCTTGGGCAGAAGCTCGTGGCAGGGCAGCCCGAGGAGTCCTCGCTTTTTTGTAAGAGAGGGCTCAACCCCCACGCTCCTACAGCTAAAGCAAGAAACGAAAGAAGCTGGGGATGCTCCCACCAGCTCCCAGCACGACTAAACCGCTGCAAATCGCGGTGGAGCTGGGAGCTGTGAGGCTGAACCCCACAGCAAACGCAGCCGACCCCACTGCCAGCACCCCTCCCGAGAAGGATGGGCTTCATGCTTACTTCATCCCAGAGAGGATTCCCACTGTCCAGCTCCCTGCCCCTTGCCCTACTCACATCAAATCTCAGAGCAACAGCAGGAAAACCCCTCAGCCCGTCATTTCCAAGCTACAGAGGATAAGGTTTGGCCTCACCAGGCCGGAGCCGAGGCCCAGCTCCGCCGACAGCACCAGCGTCCCCTCACGTCCCGGGAGCGAAGGGCCCGAGCCCCGCTGCTCGCTCCAAGCCCCGCTCCTGCGCGGCCTGGCCAGGCGAGACGCTTGGGACGTTTTAATTAATTAAAGCCACCGTTAATGGCGGCACCGGGCGCCGACACCCACCCTCAGCCCTGCGACAACGCGCCCCGGCCACAGGCCCCGCCGGGAAGGAG